CATATAAAGAGTATAACTACAGATATAAAGATACAAAGTATCACAATTCCGGATCCATTGATGTCTTCAGTACTCGGAGCCCCAACTAAGGATAAGGGCCCCCTGCCGGGCTTTCATTTCTGTGTCTGCCTTGGGAAGCTCCTCCCTCTTTAATTGTCCTGATGACCGTTGTCACGGGGACAGGAAGTAACGGGAAATCCAAACTGTTACACTCGTCACCGTGACAGGAAGTGAGGCTACATTGTGACAGCTGTCTAGTGTGGAAGTCCCTCACTTTGTAGACGTTGCCTCTCACTTCCTGTTGCTGCTCTAGGACAGGAAATGGACGGATTTTTCCCCCAATGGACCCTTTCCCTACTTTATCCCAACAAAAAAAAAACTTTTGGCTTTGCACACACACTTTAATAAACATTTATATTTACATGCCAACGGGGGGACTACCTGAAATGGGATCGGGCATCAGCCTTTTACTCCCCATACAGCAGAGCTCAGACTGAGGGAGAAGCAGCACAGGGAGCCAATCATCTGCGCTGCAATGCGAGGCAGCATGCTGACAGGAGGGCAGAACCGAGTGACAGATGAACTCATCGGTTTGCTCCTTCTCCTTTCACTGTCCAGTCTGGGGGAAGGACAAGGCCTGTGAGTGTATCTGAGCTGCAGCATTCAAAAATCAGGTCGGCCCTGCCGGATAGGGCTGTGCTGTATGACAGAGCTGTGTAAATCTCAGGACAGGAGGGACAGAAAAACAAATCCGATGGTTTGTAGAACATCTCCCGCGTCTGCTGGAGTTCAGCTTCACATTCCAGACATGAACCATGGAGGCCGCACACAGGGAGGTGACCACACAACGTACAATCTGAATCTTCCACCGCGGCCGTACGATACATCGTACAGCCAATCGTGTTCAGTCTCTGGGGGGCGGCGCACGGTGACATGTCTTCCCGCAACCGACAGCAGATTCCTTCGGGGCCGAAGCACACCTGTGCAATGGGATGTATTGCCCTCCCCCCGTCAAACCACCCCCGATTCCCTCCCCGATTCCCTCCTGGTAAAGATGCGTGCTTAAAGTCCCAGGAGAACGTTCTCCAGCACACAGTGGGGGGACCTTGAGGTCTGCCTTACGAAATCCAGTTGGGGCTCCTCCCATCTGCACCCACCAAGCCTGTGATTGGACAATGAAGGAGCAGCAGAAGACTAATGAGCAGGTTTGCTTTCAGAAATCCAGTTGGGGCTCCTCCCTGCCCCCTCCAATCCTGTGATTGGACAACGAAGTAGCAGCAGCAGACTGATGAGCAGGTCTGCTTTAGGAAATATACTCAGGGCTCCTCCCACCCCAAGCCTGTGATTGGGCAATAAAGGAGTAGCGGAAGACTAATGAGCAGGTTTGCTTTCAGAAATCCAGTTGGGGCTCCTCCCATCCATCCCTCAAAGCCTGTGATTGGACAATGAAGGAGCAGCAGCAGACTGATGAGCAGATAAAGGAACAGCAACAGACTGATGAGATCATCTCTCTCCTCATTTTCAGGTGTCGGAATGTTTGCAGCAGGTGTTAACAGCAGAGACTGATTGGCTCAGGTTATGGCTCCTCCCTCTCCCGGTCTGAGTGCTGCTGTACAGGGGATATCTGGACAGATCGATGTATTGATATTAGCTGCATATAGAAACACATTGTATGACTGAACGTGACGTCACGCGGCGTCGGCTCCGAATGTCTCACATTGTTTTATAGAAGTGATCATTCAATATGTACAATATTGTCATTATTGTTTCTTATTATCGCATAAGTGCCATGCTGGGCCCGCGGCGGCAGACCCGGCACCGGCAGACCCGGCACCGTTCCTGGACTCAGCCCCATAGAAGGGAGCGACTGCGGAATGTCTCTCCGTGGTGCGCAGCGCGATGGATGGCGTCGCCCCTTTAAATTTTGCAGCCCTGTGTACACGTGTGTCAGGTGGATGAGCCGAGTGACATCAGCGGGTTCTGTCACATGACCCGGATCACACCGATACAATGTTACTCGTCGGAGGTCTATCCCCATGATGAACGAGTTGTGGAACTACAAGTCCCATGAGGCATTGCATGACCCTGACAGCCACAGGCATGAGACTCCCAGAGGCAGAGGCATAATGGAATTTGTAGTTCCACCACAGCTTGAGTGCCGACCCGTGACGTATACTTTGATGCATGTAATATTGTGGCCCCATTCACACAAAAAGTCCTATTTTAGGGACACCCCTGGACAAAAACAAGAACAAT